CATTTTGATATTACAGATGCCTTCAGTTTCCTGTGGAAGTGGAATCCTACAAAAAAAAGAGTTTTGTCCTCCTCAGGCCAAACTTCCCCTTCTCTGTCTTGAATTATGTATACTGTCCTCCGTTGCAATAGTATACAGACTAGAATAGCATTAAAAGAAAGAACAACATTCCCACAAATTTTGGAGGGAAAAAAAAAAAAGCGCAAAATTACATACTCATCCATGTTCTGAAATGTATGAATACATTTCTCTCCTGTTAGAAGGCCAGAAGAATTGTAAGTTTTTCCACAATAGTCAAAACTTTGCAGATCAGAGAATATAAATTATTTTGATACTTCCTTCTGCTGAGACGGCATTATAAGGAAGAATCCTTCCCTGTTGAAATGTCTTTAGCCCCTCATACGTGCTCCTGCTAAGTGTCCTCTATTCAAGTGCGTTAGGGAATGAACTGACAACATGCTGAAAAAAACCCCACTTGAATTCAGTTACTTGGTTTTTCCCGGACTTCGTCAGGAAGCCTTTTAACTGACTTGACCATATTCAGATTCGTCAATAGCTTGACAAAAAATATGAACATTTCCTTGGTTATTTCACTAACAGTTGCACGAAAGGCACCCCAAGTTGTTTCCTCTTCTCAAGCAGAACATAAAGCGGGCAGGGTGGAAAGCATCTGCCCGTGTTAAAGAATTCTTCTTTAGAGTGGAATTTTGGATCTGTTTAAAAGACCTTTTCATAACGTGAATGATAAGCCACAGCTGAAGAAATGTAAGACTGTTTGGACTGTTCCCCTCCTGCCCTTGTACATGTAAAAGTAAATTATACAAAACAAAATAGTTCTCTGCTACAAATCTGTCCTTTTTAAAGATTTCTTCTCTCCTTTTAGGAAATCTCCTGTAGAAAGAAAAGTTGTTCAGGCTTTAAGAATTCTGTATAACAGTTATTAACTATGAAAATTTCAGAGAATGGGGCATCTCTTTGTCAAGAGATCGAGTTTGATCATAAGAGCTGCTTGCTGTCCTTGGACAAAACCCTATGCTGTCTTCTTCCAGCTGCAAAGCAAGATGGAAACTTGTCTCATTACTCCCACTGTCTTTTTTTTTTTTTTCCCCACAGGAACCAAGACATGAAGGACTGAGAAAGAAAAGGAAGGCTGAGGACTTCACATAACATAAGCCTTCAACAGCTCTGCTTCACCCTCAGCTGAGGTGTGTGATAAAGGAGAGCTATTGTCAGGGAGGTGGGCAAGGGGATGAAACATCTTTCTCATAAACAGGGAGAAGTTCGCTCATATGCACTACTCCCCTTCTCCTGAGATACGTTAGAGGTAAGAGTGCGCTGTCATCTCCTCAGGAAGATAACAAAAGATGCAGAAAAATTAGGCCGTAATAAAGAAAGAATCACCAAACTCTGCTGAAATTAAAAAAAAAAATCCAGAAGAGAAATCTAAATTTAATCTCTGTCCACAAACTCACCCCAAAAGTGATTTTGAGATATTTTTTCTATAGAGGTGTTACATGCATTTTTGCTTTTTTAACTCCTGTCGTGATCACACACAGTCCCTATACACTCATGACTGTGTACATGCCATAGTATCTTAATCTAAGAGCACACTAGCAAAATGCAAGCCATAGGTATTTGATGCTGAATGTGTTAAGAAGCTCAAGAACACCTTGAAAGCTCTTGGTTTTGAGACATCTAGGTGAAATGAACAACAATTTTGCCAGCCTACACATGGTTGTGTAGGAAGATTATTACGGCTCCTGACTGATTAGCTAAACTGTCTCTGGGGAATAAAAAATAAAAATCCTCACATTTTGACAACTGTGCACACACAGACATCGTACAAAGAACTAACTTAAACAGGGACAACATCATGATAGAATCTGTTTAAACAGACTATCTGTAAAATGTGCAACGTGCATCTCCTAACACAGGTGGATACCATGGTTTCAGTGAACAGTAGTTTGGGTAAGAAAAGGCAGATTCCACTAGCTTTCTTATTTCTGCATTTGATATTTATAACAGTAAAACTAAAATTTGATAATGAAAGTGTGAATATCCAAATCTAAACTTTTCTCAGACCTTTAGGTTTTCATTAAAAATCAGAAAAAAATAGTTCAAAACATTCACTCATTCCTAAAAGGAAGCACAAAGCATTGGTTGGTTTATTTGGATTATCTTTACAGTACGCATTACATTTTAATATATATGCCTGCTACTGCAAATGCTTGTTTTAACTTGCTATCAATAAACAATGGGTATTAGTTGTATGAATCACAAGTCAGAAAGGTCTGTGCAAGCACCATGGAAAAATTTAGATCCCACTGTCTGAAACATCCTTCCTTTCATTAAAACCAATTTAAAAGCAATTTACCATCTCCTCTACTTTGATAAGACTCTTTTACATTTCACTCTTAAGAGACTTCTGGAATTCCAGCTAAAGCTTATTCCCCTGTTTGGAATCAGCTTCAATTTATGGTTCTCAAGCAGCAGGTCAGTGCTACTGAGTTTCAATTCTGAAACCCAAGTAGAGATTGTGAAAATTAATCTCTCCATGCCAAAGCAAGCTTTAAGGAAAAAAAATAATCATAAATGTGGAAGCTCTTCCACATGCTTTACTGTGAACTTGTGTTTTTACTTTTCTTTTAGTTTTAGAAACAGAGCAAGATACATCTTAAAGCACATTTTCCTTCCCTGGAAAATTAATAGGCATAGGCAGTGGCTTGCCATTTTACAAACTGTTTAATTGGATATTAGACTTACGACAATAGATCTTTTTACTTTTATTCTTACCATTTCTACTGATCCATCTTTTGGATAATAGAGAAGTTCATAACGCCGAAAGAGTGAAGCATTGGGGTCATACCATTCAGTAGTGAAGGCAAATCTGTCATCTTGACTCTGGAAAAAGAAAAGGGGGGGAAAAGGGCTATTACAGAAAGCATACATGTTTTATATGTAAAAACACACAAATCAAAAACTTCCTTGCATTTGTTATCAGAAAAGTTAAAAAAAATCACTAGTAAATGCACTTGCACACTCTGTATATCATCACCTTCTTACCACAGCTGGTGACATCTTTTCACTTGTTAGCTATCATCTTGGAAGTATAATGGAAACAGCATGGCAGTTTTCCAGGCAATCTCAAAACTTACTCTGATTTCATCAGTCATGAAACATGGTCTGTTGTAGAAGTTGTTGTTAGACTTCTTAACCTTATGAAAGGATTTGATTTACTGTCATTTTTTTAAAAAGAACATGTTTGCTCACAACTAAATTATAGAATCTTAACATATTTTCTGCACATCCTACAAGAAAACACTTTCCTCTTCCTGAGCAGTCATATCTGAACTCCTGGTAACGATGAGATAAACGTATTCAAGTTAAGGATAACATTAGTCTGATTCACTACTTAACTTCCTGAAATTTACATTAAGCATAAATAGACCGATCTCATTTACAACTCATTTTCTGCCCCTAAGGAATGTGACAAGAAAGCTAGCCTGCAATCATTCTAAAACTGTAGCTACATGCATAGTTTCTTGCCACTCTTCATCCTTCAGAGGATAACCTCCTACAGGAAAGTAAGCACAAAGGCAACGCAATGCATGTGGTTGTGCAGTTCTAGCACCTCTTAGCGGTATATGTTTGTTAGCTATTGATACTGCGATATCATTTATTTGATAGCTGTTAGATGGAGCTCTAAATTTTTATTTTCCACTCCTCCTCTATATCTGATTGCTACTCCTGAGGGTAAGCCCGCTCTTGTCCCAGGATTCCAATCTTTAGATGTATCTTATACATCTTAAACATTTAGGTACTACTGGGAGTTCAAGTTGAAGCCATGTAGACCTTTTTAGTCCTTCAAATTTTAGAAAACAGCAGCATTTCAGTTGTTTCAAAGACTGCTCAGTAAGCAACAGGACAGAAAGATTTCCCATGAGCTTCTATGACTATTCTGGAACACCAGCAGGAAAAGAATTATAATCATTTTCCTAGCGAGTGCAAGCTTATAGACATATAGACGTTAAAAGAAACAAACCAAAACCTAAATCAAACCAACCAACAAAAGAAAAAAAACAACCCAAAACAGTAACAGTGATCTTGCTTTTCTTGTCAGTGCATTTTTTCTTTCAGCATCTTCAGCTTAAAACTGATTTAGGACCAAGTAAGTCCTAACACAAGCAACAGCAGGAAAGAATGAGATAATGAAGAACAATTTCAGAATTTTACAATGTGATGAATACTTGTACCTGTTCAGTTAAAAGCATCATGGCAAGTCCCCCATCCTCCTGTCAGCCCTTATGGTACCCCTACACTGCACACCGAAGACGCGATTAGATCACAGAAAGAGTTACGCAGTGGGGGCAGCACAGCACTCTACGAAGGATGCAAAGCTTTCATTTCTAACTGTAGAAGTCTGTACAGCACTGAAAGCTTTATTTACATGAGCTACTTTAACTCTCGTGTTATCTCTACACTACTGCAGCCTTTGACAATACTTAAACTCATGTTTTAGGTGCTGCACACAGCACAAAAACTCTCTGGGGACTTGCCATGGTTTCTGGCCCTCACTTAAAACTAGACATGCTTGTGTCTTCATTGCTACTGCCATCGTTGTGGAGACATGTAAGCCCGAACAAACTCTTTCTTATTTCAAAACTCACACCTTAATTTTTCTATATAAGCATGTTGTTGGCAATAAGCTCTAATATGGCTTGGCAGACAATGACAAACGGCTGATTTCAAACTTGATCTTAAATACACTCATACTGCTGGAAAAGAAGTAAAAAACATTTTATTGATTAATTTGACCATCATTATGGATGATATAGGGATATGGATGTTATAGGAAAGCAGTTCTCTACCAAAGAGGTTGTCTAAAAAGAAAAACAGTCCTGTTTCTAGAGTACTACCTCCAGAAGCTGACTAGTGATGTATGAAATAAGATGCACCATCTTTAATCAATGCCTCCTCATAACATGAAGACATAGATAATTGCATTACTTCATGCTACTTATTTAATACTATAGCATCACTTTAAAATATATTTTCTAGGCAGCAGTTGACAGAAAAGCTACTAATTTTCATTTAAGCAAAACCTCCAAAATTTCCAAATGCTTACTTGTCTTGTATTTATGTGAACGAGCAAAGAAAACACAATTAGATTTTTCGCTTAGTCACTAGTATCAGTCATCAGCACCTTCATGTTTACAGTGAGAAGCTATATTGTGTGTCTCGTCTGGTGAGGAACTGGTCTGATTGTCTTAATGCAACCTTTGTTTTAAGATCCATTTGAAATTCATTTTATAAGATCTTAATGTCTGAGCTATTCATACTTGTTATTCAGCAATCTCTGCTGGCCACTGCTTCTTATTGCTGAATGACAGAAACGACCATTCTGTACTGTCTTCTTTTAGCACTGTAAGCAAAGGCAAGGCAATAAATGCTACTTAGACTTGAAAAACACTGCAGAGTTTACCCCCAAAAGCCCAGTAATGTTATCAGTAAGCAGGAAAATTTGAATCGATTATTATTTGGAATAAAAGTTTGGAAAATATGCTGAGCGAAGAGTTTTCAAAAACGACCAAAACAAAGTCTGTAAAGCTTCTCCTAGGCTATAACCAGAACTTCCTCTCGTTTGTGGACATAAAATTATCACAATAAATATTTCTAAATGCAGAGAACAATATCAGAAGAAAACTGAAGAGCTTATGGGAAACACTGTAAAACTAATTGGCAACAGATTATGTTTGTGAACTAGTAATTGTTTCAGAGGCATGCACTGCAAAGTGAAGAAATTCAGTATTAAAAGCAAACTGAAGACCCTGCCAAACAAGTATAATGTAAAACAAAGCAGGAATTATATTTTACCATTGCAGATTCATGTAAATAGTCTTAAAACAGATAGAAGACAATGCCGAATACAATCATGACACGAAGTAACATGAACATATTCTGGTGAGCCCTTGCCAGGCATCACTGTAAAACTGCCACTCAAAGTCATCAAAAACACCAACCAATTTAAAATAGTAAGTTTTATAGAGTGAGTACAAATTAAGCTCATAATGCATCTTTTTAAATGAGAACTGAGACTTTTGTTTACTTATTTAATGCAGGAGTAGGATTTTGAAGGCAAAACCCTGTCCATTTCCCATCACATATTGTAAGGATCTCAATAAAATGCGAAGTCTTCACAGCCCTGAAATTATCTTTGCCAAACGTTTACTTTCAATCAATTTACTGCTCAATCAACAGAACTGGTACTGCAAACAACTTTCTTACATACCCTTTCACTAGCGTGCCCTAGACTGCAATGTGTGAATGAGTCTTAAAAATTAGAAGGTACTATGGGAGACATGCTGAGTTCCATCCTTGGTTTCATCCTCCTAACAAAGGAAACTCAGAGAGAAAACAATTATCCAGAGCAGAGTGATTAGAGACCAGCGATGACCTGTCAGGTGGTATCACGTTCAACGCATCATACTGCTCCAGAACAACACTGAGTCTTAAAAAGAGAAGACTTCACAGCCCTTGACCAGAGAGCCCCATCACCTCATTCATCCAGGAAATAGATGAAACACGTTAGTCACTAGTGAAATTGCATCTCTGTGAACAGCTTGAGTAATAACAAATCAAGTGAATCTATGAATACATTATAAATCAGAAAACTCCTGCTTTAAAGCATTAGTTTCCATTCATTTCTGTACTGTACCCTTGTTAAATCATATACAGCCCCTGCTCCCATGACTACGCAATTAACCAAGCAATACCAAATGGGGGAGAAATAATTTTTCACAACTTTCCACATCAGTGGAACAATCATCAGCATTAAAAAACCCAGCAGTGACTGTGCACTTTATATTCACATACTGATAGTTTTAGAGTAGCTGTCTTCACCACAACTTTTACAGCCCCCTTCATGGTAAAATCTAGGACCACCGAAATCAGTGATGTCAAGAGTTCACCTAGTATGAATACAGAAAGAATAATTTTTTTCCTTTCTTCATCCTTTTAAAAACTGCATGGGAAAACATTTGGATGCATGTGTAGGTTTTGCTAGCTTACACTTTTTTGTTTATATTAGTATGTGTGAATATTCAGTAGGAAGGCTCTGTGCACATGAGAAACATTTACTGACGTACAGCTGAATTAAAAAAATTAAATTTTGTACTTAGTTCTCAAAGTGATGGGGGAAGTAGTCATCCTTAGCTAGCATGAGACTAAGTTCTAGAAGCTAAATCCAAGCATTTATGAAAGAACTGTGCTCACAAAAAACTCTGCTGCAGAGAAAAATGGTTTGTCTGGAACATAGCTGCCCAGGAAGCTCATAACCTGAAAGAAGAATGCTTAGGAAGCTGGACAGGAAATGATCTCTTGTCCTATAAACGTCTTAGACTTCCAAAGGGCTTCTGTTCTGCAGTAAAAAAAAAAAACAAACCAAAACACAAAACAAAACAAAGCAAAAACCAACCAAAAAGCATAACACCGAAAAAACAACCAAACCAACCAACAAACAAAAAAAACCAAACAGATCTTCCAAAGGTTTTCATGAGAGACAACAGTGGTAGAACAGCAGGTCAGGGACGAAGGAACTTGCACAGAAAAGTGGAAATAACTTTATCCCTCTGGTCTGAACCACGCAGACCATACATCTGGATTTGGTTTTCCCAGCTTTTTTTCGGTTTTCAAGATGCCCCCTGACTGCCACACTCTTTTACTATTCTGTCCTCTTACTCTAGTTTTGACTAGAAATTTCATCCTAGAGTTTCCCTTGCAATGGAGAACACAGGGCATCAGGAGCTACAGATCTTTTTTCTGCTGGTCATATGGACTCTCAGACTTATCACAGTCTAAGGGAAGGGCAGTTTAGATAAATCCCTTCCCTATCATATGGGCAACATATTTTTACTAAGATTCTGCCTTCCACATGACTTTCTTTTTTCCATTATACAGATAATTCTGCCCCATTGGTAAGCCTGAAACTAATATTTTTCTGCTGGTTTGTCACTTCATGCTTTACAGCTGTAATCTCTGTGATCTGGAAATTGACTGGAAACAACTACCTCTGCTTAAACTAGTTACAAGCCTGCAATTCATCATAACCCCTTTAGCTTACTACTCAAGAAAACTTCACATGAAACAGTATCAAAATATTTCTTGAAATTAGAAA